GAGTTCTTGTATTCTAGTGAGTGACTTTGAGTAAATATTAATAAGTTAGGGAAAGATACATAGGCAATCAAGGAATTAACTTAAAAAGGTCTGTATATGGGAAATTATTTTTCTAATTAGTGAATATTGTTAAATAAAGTTTAGAGATGGATAGTGTACTTTACAAGACCTAGAAAAAGAAAATTAGTGTATTAGCACCTTGAATAAAAACCTAAAATTCTGTGTATTAAAAAGTTAACAAAATCAATGAACAAAAAACAGTTACATTTCTACACATCATCAACAAGCAGGCTGGGAGCCAAATAAAAACATAATTCTATTCACAGTAGCCACAAAAAAAAATTAAATACCTCAGTATCCATCTAACCAAAAAGATAAATGGTCTTTACAATGAGTACTACAAAACACTACTCAAAGAAATCAAGGATGATACAAACTAATGAAAAAAAATCCCATGCTCATGGATTGGAAGAATCAATATTGTCAAGATGTCCTTTCTACCCAAGGCAATATACAGATTCAATGCTATTACTATCAAATTGCCAGCATCATTTTTCACAGACCAAGAAAAGACAATACAGAAATCCATATGGAAGCAAAAAAGAGCCCAAATAGCTAAAGCAATCCTCAGCTAAAGGAACAAAGCAGGAGGCATTATACTTCCAGACTTCAAAGTTTACTACAAGGCTACAGTAACCAAGACATCATGGTCCTGGTCCATAACTGGACACATAGACCAATGGAACAGGACAGAGAATCCAGAAATAAAACCTCAGTCCTTCAATCAGCTCTTTGACAAAGCTGATGAAAACAAACACTGGGAAAAGGAAACTATACTTAGCAAATGGTACTGGGAAAACTGGCTAACCACATGCAGAAGAGTGAAACTGGACCCTTACCTATCACCGTATGCAAAAGTTAACTCAAAATGAATCAAGGACTTAAATGTAAAACTTCAAATTATAAGAATCTTAGAAGAAAACTTGTAAGAGGACACCCTCTTGAACAATGGAGTAGGCAATGAATTCATGGCCAAGTCCTCAAAAGCAAATGTAGTGAAAACTAAGATTGACAGGTGGGAATTTATCAAACAAAAAATATTTTGCACAGCAAAAGAAACCATCAAGAGAGTACAGAGACAACCCGTGGAATGGGAATAAATATTTGCAAGCTATGCACCTGATAATGATTTAACAATCAGGATCTACTAGGAACTCAAATTGATGGGAAAAAACAACCTCATTAAAAAGTAGACAAAGGACATGTGCTGATACGTCTTAAAAGAAGACAACAAGCATATGAATGCAGATGTTGAAGGATCGTTGATAGTTGAGAAAATTATGCAGAGTTCCTCAGAAATTGGTTATGGCATTATGATTGGAGATTTTGTGAATATGGTGGGAAAAGGAATTATTGATCCAACAATGTCAGAATGGTTCTGTTGGATACTGCTGAGGTGTTTTCTCTGTAACTACAGCAGAAGTTGTGGTCACAGAAATTCCTAAAGAAGAGAAGGACCCTGGAATGGGCGCAATGGTTGCGATGGGAGGTAGGATGGATGGTGGCATGTTCCAACTCGTAGAATCGTGCTTTGCCATCATGAATGAACAAGAAGCTCAAGGCAGTGTCCTCCCCAATAACTTCAGAGATGTCAGTTGAAGAAATGACTGAAGAAAAGGCTGGCTGATTAAGAGGATTTTAGGGCTTACTACCATCAGATGAGAAGTTCAGAAGCAGTCTTTCCAGGGCGAATAAGAATAACTGTGTATAAGTAGAGAAATATCCAATTATTTGATAAACTTTGTGTAATAAAACGTCATTTAAAGTTAAAAAAAAAAGATATCACATAACATGGGTAAAGATGGCTATCATTAAAAAGTCAATGTAAGCTAGTTCAACCTTTGTGGAAAGCAGTGTGATGTTTTTCTCAAAGAACTACCATGTAATCCAGCAATCCCACTTATGAAAATATACCTAGAGGAACATATATCGCTGTACTAAAAATACACCTGCACATGTATGTTCATTGCAGCACTATTCACAATAGCGAAAACATGAAAGCATGCCCATCTAAAGTGGGACTGGATAAAGATAATGTGGTACATACATGATAGAATATTACACAGCCACAAAGAAGAACAAAATCATGTTCTTTGCAGCAACATGGATGCTGCTGGAGACCATTATTCTAAGTTAACTATCACAGAAACAAAAAACTGAATACTCTATGTTCTCATAAGCAGGACCTGGTCACTGGTCACATGAGCACAAAGGTGGGAACAACAGACACTGGACACTACTAAAGGAGAGAGGGAGGGAAGAGAGATAACGGGTATATGACCACACACTGGGTATCAGGTCCAGTATCAGGGAGAGATAGGGTTTGCTAGAAGGCAAAACGTCACCTGCCTACAATTTACTTATGTAGTAAATCCTCATATGTACCCCCACAACTCTACAATTTAATTTAATTTAATTTTTTATTTATTTTTATTTTTTATTTTTATTTTTTTGAGTTGGAGTCTCACTCTGTCACCCAGACTGGAGTACAGTGGCCGCTCCCAGCCACCGCAGCCTCGACATGCTGGACTCCGGCGATCCTTCCGCCTCAGCCTTCCAAGCCCCGGCTGATTTTTTGATTTATTGTAGAGATGAGGTCTCCCTGCCCAGGTGGGTCTCGAACCCACAGGCTCAGGCACTCCACTCACCTCAGCCTCCCAAAGGCGCAGGATTACAGGCTGAGCCACTGAACCCGGCTAATTTAATTTTAAAGAAAGAAACTTTGGACTGAATTAACATGTTAAATGTCTTTATTTAAGGCAATGAGCTGTTATTAATAAAACTATTAGACATTCTCTTATATAAAGAGCACTGCCTTCCTGGAGAGCAATTTGGCAATACTTATGAAGAGCCGTGAAATTAGTATACTACATAACCCAGCTATTCCACTTGTAAGAACTCATGCTAATAAAATAATTTATAATGTGCACAAAAAATGTAATAAAAGCATGTTTATTGCAGCATTTAATTTAAATGTTCAGGAAAAGGATAAAATATATTCTGGAACACCCATATACATTCTACACAGTCCTTAAAAACATAGCTGGGCTTTATGAAAGCAAATTTTCTGTTAAGGACAGTGCTTATGATGTATTGTTTACTATGGATGAAATGTTACAAAACAGTATAATTGTATGTTTTTATCTTTATAAATAAATGTAGTTGTGTGTGTGTGTGTGTGTGTGTATGTGTGCAAGTATGTATCTCCAAGTGTATATACAAAAATAATAACAGTTGTTTCCATTGTGGGATGAGTTTATGCGAATTCTTTCTTATATATATTTTTATACTATTAACAGATATTCTTTATGAAAATAAGCTTAGAAAAAATTAACAATTTTCTAAAATAATGCTGTACATAATTATTCAAAATTGTTTCTTCCAATTCTCCATTGCTTGACCATAGTGTAGTAAATTCTCCATTAGATTACCTTTTGGTTTGTCTGTTTTGATGGTTTAAAAAAAACACACATAACATAAATTTACTCTCTTAATAACTTTTAATTGTGTATTTCAGTATTGTTAACTATATACACATTGTTGTACAACAATCCCCAGAACTTTTTCATCTTACATGACTAAAACTCTGCACCACTGAATAACTCCCCATTTCCTCCTCACCTCAGCCCTAGCAGTCTCCATTCTACTTTATGTTTCTGTGAGTTTAACTACTTTAGAAACCTCATATAGGTAGAATAAAAAGTATTTGTCTTTTTTTGATTGTCTATTTCACCTAGAACAATATCCTCAAATTTCATCCAAGTGGTAGTATATGACAGGATTTATTTCTTTTTTAACGCTGACTATTTTGTTGTATTTATATACCACATTTTCTTTATCCATTCATCTGTCAGTGGACAATTAGGTTGCTTCCACATCTTGACTTTTGTGAATAATGCTGCAGTGAACATAAGTGTGCAAATATCTCTTTGATATTCTGTTTTCAATTCTTTTGGATACATACCCAAAAGTGGACTACTGGATCATATGTAATTCTATTTTTAATTTTTTGAGGAAGCTCCATATTGTTTTTCATAGAAGTTACACTATTTTACATTTCCTTTAGTGATTTACCAGAGTTTCAACTTCTCCACATCCTCACTGACACTTGATGGATATAAGGCAGTATCTCACTGCAGTTTTGTTTTTCCCTTATGATTACTGATGATAAGCATCTTTTCATATGTTTGTTGCCTGTTTGTATAACTTCTTTGGGGAAATATCTATTCAGTTCCTTTGCCCATTTTTTATTCACATTATTTGTTTTATGTTACTGATTTGTAGGCATTCTTTACATATTATGAATATTAACTCCTTATCCAGTATATAGTTTGCAAATATTTTTTCCCATTCTGTAGGTTGCACCCACTGGATTTCCTTTTAACAGCTCACAACTATTTTTCACAGCCTTAGCTTAAATCTGACTTTGGTAATTCATGTCAACCCATTTTCACCCTGATTTTCTGAGCTATCTTTACTGACTATGCCTGATTTTCCTTTGTCATGACTTCTTTTTTCCTAATATTTTAGTTAGTGGTGATTTTAAAATAATATATATAAAAGAATATGTTTGGTAGAAGACTAGGAAAAAATTATAATCTCTTTAAATGTAAAAACATTATGCAGAGGTTAAAATCAGTAAGTTCTTATGTTAAAATATTCAAATTTGAAGATATTCCTTTTGAAGAAATATGGAAGGCATGCTATTTTGAACTAATACATTTGGTGAGTGTGTGGGATGGCACAGCTGTCATATGTGTGCCTCAAAGTCCTACACTTCTTACTGGACCCTAATTAAACTGGAAGCAGTAATCTTAGTTTGAAAACATCACATGATTCTTGTTGAGTAAACCAGTAAATTTCACATTTGCTAAAATAGAACGAAAATAAATGGTTGAATGTTCTGATTGACCAAACATAATATAGCGTTTATTTCCTAGCAAATAATGAAAGATCGGTGGATGAATGTTGGTCATGAAGAAGAAGAACTAAAGCCATATACTGAGCCTGATCCAGATTTCAACGACACAAAAAGAATAGGTAAGTATTTAAATATTATAAGAAGGCATTGCTGTCCCTATGCTGCAAGTAAGAGTCCTTTAGATTTCCAAAATAGTATTTAAAAATATAAATAAGAAGAAATTTTTATTTGAAAAATACTTGCATTATCATCTTAATGATAACACACTATACATTATGCATGTAAAGTTTCTGAGTTTGTTATATATTATGATCTAATTCAATATTTGGCAACAGCAATATAAAAATTAAATTAATGTGGATAAAACTTATTTTCTTTCTGTGATTCCAGGAGGAATGACTGATAAAACTATCAGCACTGATCAGACACTGATCAGTGTCAGCCAACATAGCATGCATTTTAACTGTAAATGTAGAGGCACTGAATTAAAAGAGTTGAACTCTTTGACTCTCCCTTTCTATTTTCCACTATCATAGCAGGGTCTATTCTGTCTCCCTGCTAGTCCTGCTACTGCTCATACCCAGCCAGCACTCTGCTTCTAACTTGTTCTCTTCATTTTTCTACCCCTTCCCAAAGCCATCAGAAACTCACAACTATTTATCTCAACTGTTTCCTGTCTGGTTTGAGGGCAGAGTGGCAGTGGAGAACATTTTAGAGTTAGGAATCTGGTCAAAACAAAACTGGAAATTTAAGTCTCCCAAACAAGAGTCAACCTACTGTAGTCAGAAAGAAAATTACTAAGAGTTGAGAGAAACCATTCCATGGATAGCTGAGGGTGAGTTGAAAAAGGCAGTGAAACTTTTATATGTGCACAGACTGACCCAGTCTCAGATTGGACAAAGAATGTTAGCTCAGGAAGGTACAGACAATGAGAAATTGAGTGGGCCCACGAATATATTCCCCATGATATTGATAATTTCTGTATGTAAAATTGTAAGTGTGCAATATCTGAATGCTTAATATCTATAGGTTAATAGTTCAGAATTTGTATAATTAAAACCATACCTTAAATTTTCATGATTTTTTTTTATATTCAATATTGTCAGACTTGCCCATTTTGTTGATTTGTTTATTAGAATAAACTAAATTTCAGAAAATTTGCCTTTTTTTAAATTTCTAGACATTATGGTCACCATGGGTTTTGCACGAGATGAAATAAATGACGCCTTAATAAATCAGAAATATGATGAAGTTATGGCTACTTATATTCTTCTAGGTAGAAAACCACCTGAAGTAAGTTTTTCACCTTTTAAAATTAATGTGAATTATTTCTTGAGCTAAATGACAACTAAATATATGATATAATGTTAGTAAATATATTCTGTTCTTTGTGGCATCAAAAATAATATAAAGGCCCTAACATTCTTATTTATTGAAATTCTAAAATCCAGATGCTAAGTTATGAACTGATTTAATTTCCATGTACCAAAAGGTTTATGAAAGGACAAGCCTCCTGTCTTGCTTAGCACCATTCACAGTCTAGTCTTTGAGACTGCTATCACCCACAGCTTGTGCCCTCAAATGCATCAGCCCCACCAAAGAGGTCCTCTTATCCCTTATTAATAATATGGCTATTGTGGCTGTGCAGAAAACACAGTGACTGAAACATGAGGAAGTGACAGCATTTGAAACAAAATGTGTGTCTTAAATTATTTATGTAAGAGCAACCCAGAAAAAGGTCATTTGGTGATATATTGCCTTATAGTGTCAAAAGACTTTTCATTTTATTTATTTATTTATTTTGAGTTAGAGTCTCACTTGGTCGCCCAGACGAGTGCAGTGGCATGCTCCCGGCCAACCACAGCCTCTATCTGCTGGACTCTGGCGATCCTTCCGCCTCAGCCTTCCAAGTAACTGGAACTACAGACATGCTACCATGCCCGGCTAATTTTTGATTTATTGTAGAGATGAGGTCTCGCCAAGTTGCCCAGACGGGTCTCGAATCAGGCAATCCACTCACCTCGGCTTCCCAAAGCGCTGGGATTACAGGCTGAGCCACCGAACCTGGCCATCAAGAGACTTTAATGCATTCAATTGAGAATTCCCAAGGCCAAGAGACCTATAATGAGGAGTTAGATTCAAGAAATAACTGTATACAAAGGTGAACCATTAAAGCAAATGATCCTTTGGGAAAGCAAATTTAAAGGGTATAAAATGAGAGTCAAGAACAAGGTTCAGAGCACTGACAGTTTACTGGAAATTAGACACCTGTAGAAGGTATTTTACAGAAAAAAAAACCGGAAATATTTAAATTAAATAATAAGCAGTGCATTCCAGCTGACATTTACTGAACCTACCTTGTACCAGAAACTATGCCAAGTACTGTGAATTGAAAGATACGAAAGTCTCTGCTCTCAAGGAGTCCTTAGTCTAGAGGGGAGGTGAGCAGTATGTAGTATGATATGTGCTCTCATTAAGGGGATGTTTAGAATCTTCTGGGAACTTATAGGAGGACAAGTATCTACAACAGATTGAAGTCAGACCTACATCTGCTTGAAATGAAAGAGGTGGAATTAACAGTAATACTTTGGTGACTAGTTGGAAATAAGGGGGAAGAGCCCCTGAGATTTCTAGCATAGATGACTGTTTGTGTAAATGCATTACCAAGATAGGAAAAGTGCAGATTTCAGAGGAGAGACAGGAAATTCAATTAGCAATGGTGGCACTTGAGATTCCGTTTGGATGGAATGGTCTAATAGACCTTTGGATATAAATATGTGGATTTGGAGAGAGAGAGTTGAGTAGAATTAATAGATTTGGAGTTGTCATCAGAGGGGCATATATTATATACCATAATGTGCCAGAAAGTGTTCTAAGGTCTTTACAAGTATTAATAAATCTAACCCTCTCAATGAACCTACCAGGTAGGTACTCTTATTATAATGAAAGAGATGAATCTTCAATGCAGATACTAATAGTTAGTTAGAGTGGTATCCAAGAAGCCAAGTCAAGAGAATTTTAGGTGGAAAATAGTGCAAATGGTTATTTCTAAAGGCTTTGAACTGTTTCTACTTAGATTTTAAGTTTCTTTTCTGAGACTTTTAATTTTCTATTTATTTAAATGTAAAGGAAGTACTACTTTTAAAGCCCCGCTCATGAATGAAGTATGAATTGTATTGAGACTACTGTGTAATAAGACTGCTATGAGTAGTAAGAGCCTAAACTTTGGAGCAGGGTTCAATGGGTTTGCATCCCCACCCCTAACCCTCGCAGCAGCCACTAACTAACTATGCAACATAGGTAATTTACTTAATTTTCTATGCCTGAGTTTCCTCATGTATAAAACGAGGATAATAACACTGTACTTATCTTTTAGGATCATTGAGAGGGTTAAATGAATTAATCCTTGTAAAGTCCTTACAACAGCTCCTAACAGATTACTGTGTGCTCTGTGTTAGCTATTATCTATTATAGTTATCATCAGTATTATTCTGCTATTTGTCATTTGTATCATCTATATATGAATTTAGATTTCCCATTGGTCAGTGATTCAGTCAAAAGGTTGCTGGAAACAAATAACAATTGTGTTACAGAGAGAGGGTGATGTGTCAATCTCTAATTTACTCTACTGAGTTCTAAGTAGATAGAATTCCCTGATCAAAGTCAAAAAACCAATTTTTAAAATAAATATCAAGAAAATAAAACATATATATATGTGTGCATGTGTATATGTGTGTATTTAAAATTTTAGATTTTATCCTATTTGAATCTCAATGATATCCCTTAACTACCTCAACCTCAGTTTTTCCTTCTATAAAGTACAAGTTAATACATTATAGGTTTGCTGTAATGATTAAACAAACTAACAAATATAAAGAGCTTAGCACAGTACCTAGTACATAATCACCATTCAATAACTGGTAACTGTTATTTGGTGTTTTGATGAAACTAATGATTTGTGCAAGATAACAGGATTACAGGTACTCATTGAGGCACATTATATACAGTCTCCTCCCTTCTTGCTTGTGGACTTAAAGTTCTGTGTCCAAAATTACACTACTTTTTAGTTCTGATTACTCCTGAGTTGTTTAGAAAATCAAGAATGCATACTGGTTTGTATAAACATTTTTGTTTTGTTTTGTTTTAAAATCCTGATGGTCTTTATTCTTCTTATAGTTTGAAGGCAGTGAGTCATTATCCAGTGGAAACTTGAGTCAGAGATCTCGGCCCAGTAGTGACTTAAACAACAGCACTCTTCAATCCCCTGCTCACCTGAAGGTCCAGCGAAGCATCTCAGCAAATCAGAAGCAGCGGCGTTTCAGTGATCATGGTAGGAGGATAAAGTCAAATAAATGAAAACACACACTGGTTCTACCCAAACTTGTGCTTTTTAAGCATTGTACATTCACATCTCTATGTGCTTGTGTCATCTTGTTCTTGCCAATTTATTTACTGAATATAAATTTACTACCTTTTTCATAGACTAACCTAATTTTTAAAATCAAACAGCTTAATCATAGTTCATAGTGTAAAACATACAAATATGGACCATTTTAATAGAGTTTTTGTTTGTGAGAAGAAAACATATCAGTCGTTTTTCAGATTTGTTTTGTTTTAATTATAGCTGGTCCATCCATTCCTCCTGCTGTATCATATACCAAAAGACCTCAGGCTAATAGTGTGGAAAGTGACCAGAAAGAGGAGTGGGACAAAGATGTGGTTCGAAAACTTGGCAGCACAACGGTTGGATCAAAAAGTGAGATGACTGCAAGCCCTCTTGTAGGGCCAGAGAGGAAAAAATCTTCAACTATTCCAAGTGTGAGTAAACATTCTGGTATTTGCAATTTGCTTTACTTCTGTGTTATTAGAGTTTTTTTAATGGAATATTTATTTTTTATAATGTTTCAAAATTATAAAGGGAGTCATAGTTTTAAAGGGCCACATGTAAAAAGGGCCACACTTGTCATAAATGTAATTTTAGAAAAGAAAATTCTTAAGATAACACTTGACTTTACCACAGGATGGTACATTAAACTTTCATCTTTTATTTTTTCTGTTTTTAACATGTACTTAATATTATATTGGCACAATTAATCTTACATTACAAATAAGTTATTTCATAAAGACAGACTCAGTGAATAATTAATTTATAAAGTTGCCTCACATTATTCACTTAAAACAACAAACTCTAGAAGTGAGATCGAACTGTAAGGCAGCAGGAAAGAATAAAGAGGAAGGAAATATAAAACTAAAATATATGAAGGATAGAAATACACCTTGTAACATTGAGAGTAATAGATGTTTCGAAAGGAAAGGGCACAAAGTGAGGGGAAGGAAATTATTGAAGAAATAATAACAATAAATAAAGGAAGGGAGAAGACTTAATATCAACAGGATTCCAAATGACAAGCAGATGCCAGGAAAGCCTAATCCTGGATTCATTAGACTGTATAAACACCAAAAACAAAACGGAAATGTTTTTAAAGATTTCAACATGGGAGGGCAGGTGATAAGTAACAGGATTCAAATTGACATCTAATTTCTCAACAGCAACATGCATACAGAAAGATAAAGGAAGTTATATTTTTAAAACATTGAAAGAAAACCACTTTGATTTCGTAATTTTTTATCTAGCCAAATTGTCATGTAAATGTGAAGGTATAATAACCATATTCTTAGGCATAAAATGTCTCAACTGTTTGGCTCTACAGTGACCATTTGCAAACACCTTAGTCGAAGGAAGGATTCTCATAGGAAAATAAATGAATCTAGAATGTTATTTAAAATATATGGGAGTTGAAAGAAATCAAATAACTTATTAAAGTATGTATTAAGTGCTATACACAAAAAGAAATAATAATGAAAAGTTGGAACAAAAATTCTGGACAGTATCCAAGATGTAAGGATTGGGGTAGAGATTAAAGGAATATACGAAAGCGTATACCTTGTTATGTAGATGATAGGAATAAGTTTTATTTGTTTTTTGTTTTTTGGGTTTTTTTTGTTTGTTTTAGAGTTGGAGTCTCCTCTGTCACCCAGACTGGAGTGCAGTGGCCGCTCCCAGCCACCGCAGCCTCAACCTGCTGGGCTCCGGGGATCCTTCCGCCTCAGCCTTCCAAGTAGCTGGAATTACAGGCACGCGCTGCCATGCCCAGCTAATTTTTTTATGGATTTATTGTAGAGATGAGGTCTCGCCAAGTTGCCCAGGCGGGTCTCGAACCCACGGGCTCAAGCAATCCTCTCACCTCAGCCTCCCAAAGTACTGGGATTACAGGCTGAGCCACCGAGCCCGGCTAGGAATAAGTTTTAGAAATCAATAGTAGTAACCAGACATGAGTTCAGGAATTTAAGGATTAACAATATAAAAACAAAAATATTGATCTGGCCTATGGACAGGAGGGGGAAAAAGTACTTTAAATAGAAAACCTGAGATAAGCCCAACATAACCTTAATTGCAAGTGGGTTAAACTCTCCAATATTCATTTTTCATTTAGTCAGTTGTAGCCATACCTTTTTGAATATATTTGATTACATATTATTTAAATATGTATGTGTGGTATGATTAAATTATCATTTCCTAGTCTGTGAAATAGATGTGCAAAACTTTATGAATTGATGGAATAACTGCTTACCTTCCAACTGATCTGTTTGAAAATATTTTAATTACAATAGGGTTTAATATATATATATTTTTATTATTATTTTAAAGATGGGGTTTAATATATTTTTTTAAAGTGCTTTTGCCAGAGAAGGCATCATTTCTCTTATCAACTAGAGGGCAGTTTACAATGTCATCACCCTTTATAGCAGAAAGAAAGAAATTGTTCTAGTATTTTCTACCATTCTCCATATTAACCTGTCATCTGACCCAGTTTGGTCTCATTTTCCCATGAACACACACAACTTTGCTTTCTCTATGTCTGTCTTTAGGTAGTACTCTTGTTCCTTACATTATAAAAATTCCATTCCTATTTATCATTTCAAGTTCTGTCTCCTAGATAGATCCTTTTAGACTGAATACTCTAAATCTCATTGCCTTTTCAATTGCTGTATCCTCTTATTTACTCCTTAACTATTTATATGCTGTCTTGTTTTGTTCACTGTTGGTTCCCCATAAGCCAAAAAATTATGGTAGAGAATTTCTGTTCTTCGTCACTTAACACTATATATTTTAAATTTGGTAATTGGAAAAACAAGAGTAATTTATTTTGTTTAATTTTAGCAGTTTAGAAGTTTCTAAAGTAAAACGAATAGTCTCCTGTTTCCTCTCCATTAGCTTCCATTCTCAGCTCCTAATATAACTAGTGCTAATCACTTAGAGTGAATTCTTCTATAGGTTTTCCTTCATTAAAGAAAACATAAATGAATATATATATACACATATAGGATTATATGATTTTACTTTTTATAAAAATGAGATCACACTATATAACATTTTAATTTTTCTCACAACTTTATGGGGTTCCAGATCACAACATCAACATCTTTTTAATAGCTGCATGTGATTTCATTGGTATTAATAGATGGATGTATCATAGTTTATTTAACCTTTCTTTTGGTGGAGTGTTCAGTTTTCCATTCTCCAGAGTAAGCGTCCTTGTATATTTATGTTATTAGTGTATTTCTGTTGAATATATTCTCAAAAGTTTGATCTCTGGACCTATGTGGCCACACTTTTTTAACCTCAGCCACAGTCAGGCTTATCACAGTCCATGGCACACTGTCATCCTAAGTCTGTACAAGGCCCATCCTTACTCCCACTCCCCTCACTTAAAGCTCCAACTCCAAAGTGTTTTAGTGGCTGTCCCTGGCTGTGTATCCTTGGATTATACACATCTAAATTTTTAATAAATGCTACCAGAGCAATTTCCCAAATGGTTGGGGTAATTTAGAGAGTAGTTATTTCTTTACAAGCTCATCAGCAACTAGGTATTATGAATCTTTAAAATTTTTACCAATCTGGAGAACAAAATAAATGTGTCCTTTTCTTTTTAATTTGCATTTTCCTGACTACTAGTGACATTGATGGTGTGATTCACAAAGCCTAAAATGTTTGCTGTCTGGCTCTTTACAGAAAATTTGCTGACCCTGCTTTAAAGTCAAAATGTACAGCTTTAATGCTTTTTCTGTGAAGTAATTTCTCAGGTAGAAGGAACTTGAACATTTACAATTCAAGCTCTGTAATATTGTAAAATACTAACTAAACAAATAAACATTTACCAGTGACTCTATTTGTCATTAAAATGGACTATAATGGAAAATATATATCCCAGTCAAATGACATGACCCAGCTCCTTACTTTCTAATAGAAAATAATATTGATAGCATGCATAGGTAATTTAGTAGGTGATTTAGTAGTTTATTAGTACCTTAAATGTTAATAAAATTAGAAGGTTTTTTTTAAGTCATAGTAAAAGCTCTTGCTTAGAAGTATGATTCTATTGATGGTATTATTTAACATTGGTCTAGTATTTGACTTAAGGGTGATATTGGCAGATATTTAAAACCACTGTTGGTAGGTTTATTTACAACCTCTGTGAAAAACAGTGTGGTGATTACTAAAAGATTTTAAAACCATCCTTCCATACAACCCAGCAATCCCCTTTATAGGAATATACCTGGAGGAACTCAAATCATTTTATAAAGATACCTGCACATGCATGTTTACTGCAGCATCATTCACAATAGCAAAAACGTGGAACCATCCATGCTGCCAGTCGAAAGAAAAGTGGACTGAATAAAATAAATGTGATACATATACATTATTGAATATTATGCAACCATAAAGAAGGATAAAATTATGGATTTCACAGCAACTTGGATAGATTTGGAGTCTATCATACTCAGTGATATATCTCAGAAACAAAGAACTGAGTACTACATGTTCTCACTCATAAGCAGACCCTGAACATTTATCATAATACTGTAAGGAAGGATTTGGCAGTAGTGAGAAACTTCCAGGGAGGAGGCACATAACTTTAATAAGTGTTCCTGGTTTCAAACCAGCCAAAGTGGGAACCAAAGGGAGACCAAAAGTTTACCTGTACAATGACCACTTATCTACCCAATCCTGAATTGTACCCCACATCTTTAAAAATGAATAAATAAATAAAACCAGCCAGTTGGTAGACAGCAATGGGAAGAGTTAAATAGTTAGATTAATGGTTGGATAAATTTTTAGGTTACTTATCTAAATCATGTGTTTCATTGTTCATCACCCAAAACCACTACAGGGAATAAACAATAGCAGTGTATCTTAGTCCATTTAGTGTTGCTATAACAGAATACCACAGACTAGATAACTTATAAAGAAAAGATATTTATTTCTCACAGTTCTGGATGCTGAGTAATCCACTATCAAGGTTCTAGTACCTGGTGAGGGCCTTCTTGTTACATCATCCCATGTAACATCATCCCATGCAAAAGCTCAAGAGAGCTCACACAAGAGAGAAAATATGGTCTAAACTTGCCTTTATAACAAAGCCACTCTAGAGATAACTAACCCACTTCTATAGTAATCCATTCACGAGGACAGAGCCCTTGTCACCTAATCACTTCTTATTAGGCCACACCTCCAAACACTGGGGATTAGGTTTCCGCTACAGTAACTTTGGGTGACACATTCAAACCATAGCAGAGTGTGTTACGGGAACTTAGGACTCTTTCCAAAAGAACTTCGGACTCTTTCTGCAGTAAGATGCAAAAAAACAAATATTTTTCTTCTACAAATTCCCATCCAAAAGTTACACATGAGAGTTAATGGAAAACCCTTGACTAACCTAGAAACTTGGAAACCAACTGTTGAATGGGGGTGAGAA